ATATATATATATATATATATATATATATATATACGTATATGTTTCTCGTTCAGTCTCGGTCTTGGTGTCTTTTTGTGTGTTTGTTTGTTTTTTTTTCTGTCTCTTTGTCTCGTTGTCTCTGTTTCTCTGTTTGTCTCCTTCTTTCTCCGCATCTGTCTCTTTCTTTCTGTCTCCTTTTGTATTTATTTGCCTCTTTTTTTATATATTTTCTGTCTCCTTTTGTATATATCTGTCTCCTTTTTATCTCTTTTCTGTCTCCTTGTGTGTATATCTGTCTCCTTTTTGTCTCCTTTTGTATATATCTGTCTCCTTTTGTCTCCTTTTTGTCTCCTTTTGTATATATCTGTCTCCTTTTGTACATATCTGTCTCCTTTTGTCTCCTTTTTGTCTCCTTTTGTCTCCTTTTTGTCTGTACCAGGTCTCTGTGCCTCTGCGCCTCTTTGGGGGTCCCTCTATGGCTGAGCATTTAACCCGTAGGCAAATTGCATGCAACGATATATGCTGCTGCTGCTGCTGCAGTTTGTCTTGCTGCTGCTGCAGCGCTTTGTCTTGCTGCAGCAGCAGCAAGACAAAGCACTGCAGCAGCAGCAGTTTTTTTGCTGCTGCTGCAGCGGCTTGTCTCGCTGCTGCTGCTGTGTTGCTGCTGCTATGCTGTTGCTGCTTTTGTTGCTGCTATTGTATTGTTGCTGCTGTGTTGCTGCTGCTGTGTTGCTGCTGCTGTGTTGCTGCTGCTGCAGCGGAGCTGGCGGTGTCTGTGTGGATGCATGAGGGCGTGCCGGTGAAGGTACAGCTGCCGACATCTATTTTAACTGCCCTGAGGTGCGCTGGGGCTGCATGCATGCATGCATGCATGCATGCGTTTGGGGCCGCATGCATGCATGCATGTGTTTGGGGCTGCATGCATGCATTACTGCTATGCATGCATGCATGCAAGCATATTGTGTATTCGTTGGGTTTAATAATTATTTTAATTTATTGTTTTTGTTGCGGTGTCTATGCAGGGGGAAGAAGTGAGTAGAGATAAACAAAACAAACAAACAAAACAAACAAAACAAAACAAAACAAAATAAAACAAAAAAAAAAAACAACAAAACCCAGCAGACTACGGGGCTTTGTGGCTCTGCGCATGCAGAGGTGGGGCCCCTTAAATTTCTCTTTTTTTTATAAAGGAGACAATATGCATGCAGCGAGAGAAACAGAACAACAAACAAAAGGAGACAAAAAGGAGACAGATGCCTTCAGGGCCCCTAAACCCTAAACCCTAAACCCTAAACCCTAAAAGGAGACACCTGCTGTTGTCTCCTTTTCTATGCTGTCTATACAAACCAACTGCCAGCCCCAAAACACGCAGCAGCAGCTGCGGGGGTCGCGCGTTCGCTGCGCATGCAGGGCCCCCCCCCCCAGGGGCCCCCATGAGGGGGGCCCCCCAGGGGCCCCCATGAGGGGGCCCCCCTGGGGGCCCCCGTGGGGGCCCCTCCTGGTTGTTATATTCGTAACAGACAAAGTAAAGAACAGCAAGATTGACACTAGTTAAGTTAAAGTTTGCATGCACAGTTTGGGGCTGGTGTTGAGCTGTACGTACACCCCAGATATGCATGCAGTCCCGCAAGGTGAGGATACACCTGAAGGGGAAAGGAGACAGGAGACAGATGCAAAAGAAAAGGAGACAGTAGTCTCCTGCCCTTCTGTTGTATCAGCATCCATAAAACAATCAAAAGAACGCAGCTGCAGCATTGACACAGACGCTGCTGCTGCTGTTGCTGCTGCTGCTGCTGTTGCTGCTGCCGCTGTTGCTGCTGCTGCTGCTGTTGCTGCTGCTGCTGAAAGTGCTCTTCGCGTTCCAATCCGCCGCAGTCCCCAGACGTCCTATCCGTCTTTGCTGCAGCACCAGCAGTTGCTGCTGCTGCAGATGCTGCTGCTGCTGCTGCTGGGGTGTACATGGTTGGGCGTGGCAGCAGCTGGTGTTGCAGCGGCTGCTGCAGCAGCAGCGCAGAGTCTCCAGGGGGGGACGTAAAGCAAACACGACTGTCTCCTCGCGGTGTGCTGCTGCTGCTGCTGCTGCTGCTGCTGCTGCAGTGCAGCAGTGACAGAAGCAAAAAGGAGACATCCCGCAGCGTCTTCAAGCTGCTGCTGCTGCTGCTGCTGCTGTTGCTGCTGCTGCTGCTGGTAGCACAGGGTCCCAAAGAAGACACCGCAAAGGAGACAAAAGAAAGGAGACAAAAGGAGACAGATCACGTGTGTGGGGTGTACTGATACTACTGTATAAATCATCGATGCACATACACCCCAACACACCGACACAGCCACAAACAAAAACAGAAAACATAAAACTATAAAACTGAAAAACCTATACTCCCACTCTACACCACACCGCTCCCTGGGTACACTTTCTATGGGGCCCCCGGGGCCCCTGGGGCCCCCAGGGGCCCCCCTGTGAGGCCTCTGCGCCCCCCCCACCCTTCCTGCGGATCCCCCAGGGGCCCCCCCATGGACTACTCTATGCAGGGGGGGCCCCCAATGGGTCCCCTACAGGGGTCCCCTGTGGGTCCTCTTGCAGTTGGCAGAGGCCCTGATAGGGGGCCCCCCTAGGGGGCCCCTAGGGGGGCCCCTCAAGGGGGCCCCTAGGCGGGCCCCCCAATGGGGCCCCTAGGGGGGCCCCCCAATGGGGCCCCAAGGGGGGCCCCGCAGGGGGGCCCCAAGGGGGGCCCCGCAGGGGGGCCCCTAGGGGGGCCCCGCTGTGGTGAGGTCATCACTGAGCTGCACAGTTCGTATTCCTGCTGGGTGTAGAGGGGAGAGTCTGCTGTATCCCTCTGGGGTGACGTGCTGCGGCTCTGCTCCTGCGGGGGGGGGCCTCTTGCTCCTCATGCTAGACGTAGGAGACAAGCTGTCAACGCTGGGGGCCCCCGGGGCGCCCGGGGCCCCTGGGGGCCCCTGGGGCCCCTGGGGCCCCTCTGACTCCACAGAGTCCAGAGAGACAGGGGCTGCGGGGGCCCCAGAGGTGTCACTGACACGAGGAGACAAACTACCAAGCCAACGGGGTGTACGTACACCCGAAGCTGCGTGAGCAAGCCAGGCTACGAGGCCACCCTCGCCCCCACTGCGTCTCTCAACAGTAGGAGCAGCAGCAGCAGCAGCTGCTGCTGCTCCTGCTGCTGCAGCGGCTGCTCCTGCTGTGCCTGCTGCTGCGGGCTGTACTGCTTGAGGTGTATGTACACCTGAAGGCGGCAGACCCTCTCTCATCTGCAAGACCTCCTCTCCGCCTGCTGCTGCAGCGTCGCTGCTGTCCCCTGGAGCCTTTCCCCTGCGCAGCAGCAGCAGCAGCAGCAGCAGCAGCAGCTGATTGGATATAGCAGCAACAGCAGCAGCAGCAGCAGCAGCAGCAGCAGCAGGTCCAATGTGCTGCTGCTTGTTGGGGGCAACAGCTCACTTCCTCTCAGCTGCAGCTCCGAGGTATCGATGCAGCAAACGAAGTTCTTCAGCTTGCAGCCAGCAGTGCCTGCAGCAGCAGCAGCAGCAGCAGCAGCAGCAGGTGCAACAGCAACAGCATGCAGGGCATCCAAGGTGCAGCAGCAGCTCGGGGCCCGTGACTAGCTAGCTAGCTAGCTAGCTAGCTAGCTAGCTAGCAAGCTAGCTAGCAAGCTATCCAGCTAGCCAGCTGGCTAGCTAGCTAGCTAGCTAGCTAGCTGGCTAGCTGGCTAGCTGGGTCCTCACCGCATGCGCAGCAGCCGCTTGAACTCCAACTCCATCTTCTGTCGCGCGTACTCCGCAAACTCCGCGCTGCACGGATTGCCCTCATGCAGCCGGCAGACAAGTTCATCCTGCAGCAGCAGCAGCAGCAGCAGCAGCAATAGCAGCAGCAGCAGCAGCAATAGCAGCAGCAAAAATAGCAGCGGCAGCAACAGCAATAGCAGCAGCAGCAGCAGCGGCAGGGCGTCCGTAACAAGGCGAATGCTCAGCATGCAGCAGCAGCACACAATAAGCAGCAACACCAGCAGCAGCAGCAGCAGCAGCAGCAAACGACAGAGATGCAGCAGCAGCAGCAAACGATAAAGGTGCAGCAGCAGCAGCAAAACCTACTTGCTGCCTCTCGTGATGCCCCTGAGCTCCGCTCCCCTCAGCCGCTCTCCCCCGCAGCAGCTCCAGCAGCCTCTTCATGTAGTGCTGCCTGCGGCCTGCAGCAGCAGCAATAGCAACAACAGCAGCAGCAGTAGCAGCAACAGCAGCAGCAATAGCAGCAACAGCAGCAACAATAGCAGCAACAGCAGCAGCAATAGCAGCAACAGCAGCAGCAATAGCAGCAGCAGCAACAGCAATAGCAGCAACAGCAGCAGCAGCACAACTGCAGCATCCACACGTGGCCCAAGCACCAGCACCTGCAGCAGCAGAGGAACACCAGCAGCAGCAGCAACAGCAGCAGCAACAGCAGCAGCAGCAGCAACAGCAGCAGCAGCAGCAACAGCAACAGCAGCAGCAGCTATCTCCTGGCTCACCGCCAACCTGCACCTGAAGGCCCTCAATCTGTGCTGCAGTTAGGGACTCGATATCTGCGCCTTGTAGATTCTGCTGCAGCAGCCGCGACATGTCAAAGGGGGCTGTTGCTGCTGCTGCTGCTGCTGCTGCTGCTGCTGCAGTGCTGCTGTTTCCAGCATCTACTTCATCATGCTGCTGCTCTGGGGACGGCAGCAGCTGCTGCAGCAGAGACTTCGTGGGGTCTGCTTCTACGCCGGTCCCCCCCCCAAACTTACACCGCAGCCTGCTGCTGTTGCTGCTGCTGCTGCTGCTGCTGCAGTTGCTGCTGCTGCTAGGACGCACGCTGCAGTACGCAGACGAAGGAGACCCACTGGGCCGCCGCACCCGCAGCTCGTTGAGGAGAGGGGGCAGCTGTGCTGCAGCAGCTGCTGCTGACGGATCATCCTGAAACAGCCCTTGCTGCTGCTGCTGCTGCTGCTGCTGCTGTAGCTGCTGCTGCAGCTGCTGCTGTTGGGGGCACTGTTCTGTCGCGTCAGCATCCACCGCCATTCTGCGTGTGTCTAGGGGTGAATCCTGTGCAGCAGCAGCAGCAGCAGCAGCAGCTGCTGCTGCTGCTGCTGCTAGACCTGCTGGCTCCTTCATAAAGATAAGGGTCTCCCCGTCGTCCCCCAGCAGCCCCCTTTTGCTGCGCTGCTGCTGCTGCTGCTTCCGCAGCCAGGATTTTCTGAGTGCTTGTGTGTTGATAGAGGGTGTGCCTGGGGGTCGTTTCTCGCTTGCTGACGGTCTCTGCTGCTGCTGCTGCTGCTCTTGCTGCTGCTGCTGCTGCTGCTGCTGCTGCTTGCTGCGCAGAGTAAGACGGGTGCTGGGGGACTCAGCAGATATCGTGTGGCGGCTTTGCTTCCTCCCTAGGAGTGTTGTCTTTCTGGTTGCTGCTTGCTGCGCTGTTCGCTGCTGCTGCTGCTGCTGCAGCTGTTGCTGCTGCAGTTCTCTGGCTGTCAGAGGCATTTCGCTTTTTCCTGCTGCTGCTGTATCTGCAGCAGCAGCAGCAGCATCTGCTGCAGCAGCATCTGCAGCAGCAGATAGAGGTGAGCTGCATGCAGCAGACTTATACAGCCGCGATTGGCGTGGAGACAGCGTCATCTCTCTTAGCTGTCTCCCTGGGGCCCGAGGCCCCTGCAGCAGCAGCTGCTGCTGCTGCTGCTGCTGCTGAAACGAAGACAAAGGAGAAGGAGGAGGCAAAACCCCACGCACTTCGCCCTGCATGCGGTCCACACACATAACAGCAGCAGCAACTGTTGCAGCTGCTGCTGCAGCAGCAACAGCAAGTGCTGCTGCTGCAGTAGTAGCAGCAACACCCCTACCGGCACAACCGCCATCAACATAACCACCATCACCATCAGCAGCAACAGCAGCATCTACAGCAGCAACAGCAGCAGCAACAGCAGCAGCAACAGCAGCAGCAGCAGCAGCAGCAAATAACATTTCTTTATTTACTGCTGCAGTGTCTTGCATGCGTCTGGGGCTGCTGAGAGCGGTCTCCCCTGGGGCTTTCCTTGGGGCCCCCGCGGGGCCTCCGATGACGCTCTTGCGGCTGACACCTGCGCTTCGTATAGGCCTGCTGCTGCTGCTGCTGCTGCTGCTGCTGCTGCTGTTGGTGCTGCTGCTGCTGTTGCTGCTTGAGGGAGCAGAAGGCAAGGAGACGCTAGAGGAGAGAAGGGGAGAGCCGAAGCTGCAGGAGGTACGGGGGCCCCTCCTGGGGGCCCCCCCATAGGGCCCCAAAGGGGTTGGGGGGGGCAAGCGAGGAGACAGCTCAGATGCAGTAACAAAGTCAGCAGAGCGAAGAGGAGACAGTTCCTCTATACCGGAGCTGGCAGCAGAGGGGCTCAAAGGAGACCTTACACTGTCTCTCCCCCCTTGCTGCTGCTGCTGCTGCTGCTGCTGTATTTCACCCCCCCCCTGCTGCTGCTGCTGCTGTTGCAGCTGCTGCTGCTGTTGCTGCTGCTGCTGCTGCTGCTGCTGCTGGGGCTGTTGCATGCGGAAGTTTTTGACTCTGGATGCGTATCGGAGTGTGTTGAGGGTTTGCTCGCAGCAGGAGGATGCGGGGGAGATGGTGGCGATCATAACGCTTCTGCTGTTTCTCCCCAGCAGCACTTCTCTTAATACTTTTGTCAACTCTGAGTCCCTAAAGGGCACATGCAGCTTGTCTCTATCCATGGCTCGTATACACTCTTTCAGCGCCAACAGAGAACGGTTTATACCCGCACCGTCCTGCTGCGTTTGCTTCGGTTGCTGCAGTGTATCCGCACCTCGCTCGCTGCCCGCCAAATCTATAAACACCAAACGACCTTCATACATACACACACACAACAGCAGCGGCAGCAGCAACAACTGTACAACCAATACCAGCAGCAGCAGCAGCAGCAGCAGGAATTGCAGCTATAGCAGCAATAGCAGCAGCAGTAGTAGCAGCAATAGGAGCAGCTGTAGCAGCAGCAATAGCAGCAGCAGTAGTAGCAGCAGAAGCAACAGTACAAGCAACAAAAACAGCAGCAGCAGCAGCAGCAAGAGCAACAGCAGCAGCAGCAGCAGCAGCAGCAGCAGCAGCAGCAATACCTGCCACTTTGGAGTTTTGGTTGCGAATATGAATTTGTAGAACTGCATGCGATCGAGAAGACTCATCGTTGACAGAGTTCGCCCCTGCAGCACACAGCTGCAACACCAACAAACCCTGCAGCAGCAGCAGCAGCAGCAGCAACAGCAGCAGCAGCAGCAGCAGCAGCAACAGCAGCAGCAGCAGCAGCAGCAGAGACGCACCGATTCGCCTGAGCTCCATGCCACCAACGATCCGCCTCAGCAGCTCTTCTTCGCTGCCCACCTCATCCTCTCTCAGATCTGCAGCAGCAACAGCAGCAGCAGCAGCAGCAGCAACAAGTGCAGCAGTAAGTGCAGCATGAGCATTCAGCCGCAGACCGGCACAAAGAGTAGCAGCAGCAGCAGCAGCAGCAGCAGCAGCAGCAGCAGCAGCAGCAGCAGCAGGAAAGCACCTTTGACAACAACTTCCTTCTTGCCATTCTCCAGAGCAGCAACTAGCTTCCTGCAGCAATCAAAAGCAACAGCAGCAATAACAGCAGCATCAGCATCAGCAGCAGCAGCAACGGCAGCAGCAGCAACAGCAGCAGCTGCAACAGCAGCAGCAGCAACAGAAGCAGCAGCAACAGCAGCACAGCACCGCGAACCACAAACACCCCGAGTACACCAGAAACACCATGCAAAGCAGCAGCAGCAGCAACACCAGCATCAGCAGCAACAGCAGCATCAGCAGCAACAGCAGCAGCAACGGCAGCAGCAAGAGCAACAGCAGCAGCAGCAGCAGCAGACCTATCCTGCAGCAGATCGAAGAGTCTGCCGTTATATATTTCAAAGAAGGAGACATGCACTGTCTTTTTGTCTCCTTCTTCTCGCATATACTCAAATATATCGTGACAAGCCAATGAAAATATACCCGCTGCACCCACACAAACCCTAAACCCTAAACCCTAAACCCTAAACCCTAAACCCTAAACCCTAGTGGTTGTGAAGGATGCAGCGCACGTCTGCAGAATGAGGCTATACGGCCACAGTCTAGCGGGGGAGTTTATATTAGGGTTTAGGGTTTGGAGAGCGGAATTCGGGTTTAGGGTTTAGGCAGCATAATATGAGGGTTTAGGGTTTGCAGAGGAGAATGAGGGTTTAGCGTGTTGGATGATTACGGGTTTAGGGTTTGTATGTTTAAGGGTTTAGGGTTACATATATATACAGATCTATATATACATAAATATATACATATACATATACATATACACATACAAATACATATACATATACATATACCTATACATATACATATACATATACCTATACATATACATATACATATACATATACATATACC